TTGCATAGACATTTTCAGGGGCGGACTAGCCATCTGTATAATTTCCCCGAAACGAGGCTCCCCCTTTGACAATCCACTAGCGCAGATCTGGCGCAAATCTGTATCAGATCCGTTGCAGCCCCGTTTTTAGAGATTTGGGTATGGAGGAAAAGAGAGAGGGTTGTGTTTTCTGACACTTGTTGAGTTCCCTGGAACACCGGGGACACATATTCATGTATAAAATACATACAAAAGTGCATTTTGCATGATAGGTCCCCTTTAACTTAGCTGATGTTGTGATTTGCTGAAGCCCTTCTCGTTCCTGTTGGCTTGAAAACAGATGTTCATTATTGACCATAGAAATAATAGTTTGACTAAAGCTTCTAAAATCAAATTACACTCTTATTAGCTTTATCACATTTCCATTGCCCCCACATACAAGGCAGAAACCCAGAGTGAAAACGAGCCATTGCATTTAACCGACAAGCACCAAACAGGAGAGACTGTACTGTACATTACATTACTAACAGATATGTATATTTGGTGTTTCAGCTCATAAACTAAGACTCCCCTACATTGGTAAATTATAAAAGATAAACTAATACATATGTTCTTTCTTTCAACAAATAAGAATAACACTTGTTTCCTAAAACAAAAGCAAACCAAAGCAGACTGAAGATAAAGATGATTTAAATAGAAACATCACAGCAATGAGAAGTGAAAATCGTTTTTTTTTAAATTAAAAATGAGACTTCTGCATTATCTCTCTCCATGAATTTCTGAGTGACTTTTGTTTCACTAACACTAGGTCAGAGTTGGTCAACAACTTTGATGAGTTATGTACCACTCCTTGTATTAGTCAGACACAAGTTCCTCCTCCACAGAAATGCCCTTGGGGATTACACCAATTTCCTTTCCAATGTAAAATAAATTCACTTTAAATTCCATGTCTATTTTCAGCATGTAACATTCACTGGAACAGTTTGAAATATATATTTCTCAATCTCTCCTCCAGGTGCTAGCCTCCATGTGGCAGACAGTCGATACTTTTGGTTCCACCACAGTGAAGGCGACACCATGAGTGTTCAGGACCCTCAAGAAATGAACCTCTGCTCGGCATTGTGGGCCGTGGTCGCCTATGTGGTGGCCGACCTACAGGACATGTTGCCCAGGTAACCAGTTCAGGATGCTGAGCCCCAGGGAACAGCACAAGATCACTGTGAACTGGACGGGTTCATTTTAAACAAACAGTCAAATCAAACTTCTTTTTTTATTTACATGAGATTGAATAGTTTTATTCAGGGAGTCTTTGTTTACACAGTGAATGTGAATCATACTCAGATAAAGGAGTGTATCCAAGAGTGGATTAAAAGTAGAATGTTACATGATTTCAGCACAAACCTGTTTTATTTTTTTTCATTTTACAATAAAATACATTGTCATTGCAACAATAATTTTGTTTGAGAATAAATATCCAATAGATTTACATAATGTTTTTACTCTGGGCGGCTCCCATGGTTAACTTAAACCTTAAGCAAGATAACCAGGACTAAAATAGGGCATGTAAAATCAACATAGCACATGTTGATATATCTGTAAAGCGTCTTTGAGCACCTGTAAAAGCGCTAACAAAATAAATCTATTATTATTATTATTATTATTATTATATGACCATTCTGCGAAATGTTTTATAATGATTTTGAGCAGAGAAGAGCACACTATGCTTAAAATCACAGAAACATTTGATCTTGTTCATGGAAAAGCTCATTTAAAAAGTATGGTTTACTGACTGGGACAAGAAACCAAGAAAGTTAGAATAGTGGACTTGCTTAGGTCCTTTATTTTTCTGAATGCTTTTATCTTTTGGGCTGAGAAATCAAACAGGAAACAACAATGAGCTAATAAATAAGTATTATGAGAAAATGTGGAACTGTTTAAATCTGTATCTGTCTGAATGCATTTATATTGTGTGCTGAAAAATCAAACAGAAAACAGCAATGAGCTAAGAAATAATAAAATGTGGAGCTCTCTAAATTCCCAATGTTTTCATCAATTTCAAGAAGAATAAGAAAGAAGAATGACCTCATCTTAACATTTAAAGGATGTTCGGTAAGATTTAAAACACCATTGCCGTGTTGTAATATGATAATGAAAGTATTATCGTTTGCTTTACCACGTCACCCCGTCTGCTCTTCTGCTTTAATACTCTGAATGTTGCTGATGGTGTTGTTTTTGTTCAAAGAAAGAGGAAGATGACGACAAATGAGACGTAAATGTTGAGTGGAAAGAAGAAGCAGGACATGCGATCCTGAGATATGAGAAGAGCAGAAGTCGTACAATACAGCTTTATCACTTTAAACCTCCAGACGTGCTGTACAGTCAAATAAAGAAAACAAAAAATAACACAGCACAGCTCACACACAGTAAAAAAAGTGCAAGTAAAAACAATAGACAATTTAAAAGCAATAAAAGCAACGCTCTAAAAGATGTTAATACGCTAAGGGTGTACAGAGGAGGAGAGGAAGTCAAGTTATTCATCATTGTGTGGGCGCCATGCTCACCATCGCAACAGATACAAAACACACACACACACACACACACACACACACACACACACACACAGCTGGGATCTCTCCACCCGGTGAACTGATAAGTCAGCACAGTGATGTCAGGGTGAGTCAGCCAACTGGTGCAGATCAACTCATTTTTTAAACCCAGGTGTGTGTGTGTGTGTGTTGCGTGCGTGCGTGCGTGCGTGCGTGTAGAAACAAAGCTGTGTAACTTTAACCAGTTTCTGCTGGTCTCTTCCTCCTCATTTGCCAGTAACACTGATTCACAGTTATTTTAGTGAAGAAACACACAGTCTGTGAATGTTTAACACACTGAGTCACATAATGCACCACCGACACAATTAAAAAAAAAAAAAATGAACGCATTAACATGAAACAGACATCTGATAGAACATACAAAACAAATATAAATAAAGTCAGGTTTTCATTAATGATCTCAAGAATCTATATTAATATTGACCCAAAGAAGTTTTTTCAAATGTATCATATTCTCATCTCAGGTCACTGTTCTTTCTCATTTACCTCTGTATTTAAAGCATTACAATAAAGAGATGCAGCTTTCTGTTAGTTTCACAGCAGCTGTGATCATGTGACAGTGAACATTCAAGCTGATGTGATATTGGTGTTTAACCTGTTTTATTCCAAAAATGCAGCCTACAGCCATCATTCACCCATATGATCCAGTCTGTATAACAACATATGCTTAGGTTAATTGTAGTCTCCTTTTTTCAATCCAAAAGATAAGTCTTGCTGAATGAATAGTTACAACATCTGGGTCATGGAGCATGGAAATGTAGAATCCATTGATTTGATTTTAACCGAGATTTATGTTATAAATATGACCAGTTCCTTAACAGCTCACAGGAATGGCAAAGATGGGGAAAAAAAGGTAAATGAACAACTCAAACAATTGTGCTCTTTGTGGATATTTGAAGACAATTTTTTCAGTTAAGTATTTTTCTGAGATTGTTTAGTTTGTAATATTGACATTTATGTGTGCAATTCTGTGACAATATATTGTTATCTCCTACTAATTATGTTCATTTGAATTCAGAAACACAACCAACAACCCAACTGGATGTCAGCCTGTGGTGCTTATGAAGAATTTATCAGCATATGCCACCACCTGGTGGACAGCCTCGCGCATGGCGTCTTGTAATTTAATATTTTTTTATTCCATTCCTCGTTTGTCCAACAAGGGTTTATTAACAACAATACAAAGAAAGGGAAAATATTCGCCAAAACTAGGATTTTTTTATTTTGTACACAACACACATTTTAACAGTTTATTTTTCATACACTTGACAACTTGTTAAACTGCTGTTTAATTATTGACATTGCTACCAAGGCATTTAAAGAAGAACAATTATTAGTCAAATGTTTTTGACAAATACAAACATTACCATGGCAACAAACATAACTGCATTCATTTACTAAATGATTTGCATTAATTGACATGAGATCATGTAGCTACAGGCCTCCTGGAGTTGAAGACCTTGATCCCGTTCTGCATGGAGGAGCGAGCGTGTTTGGTGAGGAGAGCTCCGGTGCTCTGCTTCTCTCCACACAGGTCCCTGAACAAGGAGAAGCGTTACATGTTATGATCTATCAGAAATCTAATGAAATAAATGAGGTGATTTGTTTCTTCCCCAATGTTCACAAGACCCATTTTTGTACCTACAATTAACATAAATGTAAAGCAGAAAACATTATGGTTGTTCTTTTACTTTTATTTAGGGTTATAATATTGTCCTATATGGATAACACCTACTTTATGTATGGTGTGATGTCGTCTTCTGTCCATTTCTCTCGGAGTGTGAAGAGCTGGTTGAAGCGCTCCAGCGTGTCCTCGGAGAGATCCTCCACCCGCAGCAGGTTGATGGTCTCTGGGCGGGAGCTACGGTCCACCAGGGCCACGCTCTGGGAAATGTACAACATTGTCAGCACTGTGCTCATGTCAGATGACCATGGAAACAGAAACCACAGATTAAATGGAATGCAATGTAAACTGGCTGGAAAGAAAAAGGGTTATACAAGTGCTGGTGAAGCCATTCCTATACAATCTTCCTACTTTAGTTATTTGACATTGTAGTGGCAATTTCTTACTTTATATGGTAAAACCAAATGATGATATTATGCTTAGAAACTGTTTGGTCAACTCGACCTGTTGTACCACAAGGTAGCATCCCAACAAGGTCGTACCTGGAGGATGTGGCCCTCCCTATGAGAGCATTGTAAGATAACAGTTTTCTAAGGAAAGTCTTATCTCTTTTACTTCCTGCACAGCAACAGTCCTCTATAAAACACACACACACCTTATACCCTGTGTGCACTCCTGCAGACTACTTTGTACTCTGAGACATGTACCTTTGAAGCGCTTCAAATAAAGAACCAACGAAAGACAACGCTGCTTGCTTTCACCAGTTTATTATTGATTACTCTCATTGACGAGTTTAAAATATCCACGACAACATTTAGATTTAAGTTCTATTTTAGGGAGTAATATGCGTCTATTGTGTAAAAAAATAAACATATTTTCTCTTACAATAAGTATATAAGGGTACAGGCTTACCTTTAGCTGGTCCAGTCTCGTGCTCATGCCCTCTGGGACGCTCTGCTGCCAGACTTCCTGAAACTCCCTCAGGTTGAACTTGACGGCGTTCTGCAGCAGCATCAGCGCCATGCCCCGACATACTCTATCCTCATCCAGGGCATACAAAACGTCATCTATAAAGAAGGAGGATGATACAGGAATGTAAGTATGGGTAGTTACAAACTGACTAATTCAAACTGAAGGTTTTTCAGTTGAGTCTCAGTTGATTAACTTTACTTTACCGTTTTCAGAATAGCGCTTCCCATAGCAGTTCAAACAGTGCTCTATCATCTGTCTGCGAAAGAGATAAGAGGAGTTATTGGAAGTTCCTGAGCATCTAATATAAGACTCATCCAGCCTTATATTAGATGCTCAGAAAGTTAGTTTAACCCCATTTCTCATCCCCTAAGCCTTATCAACACCACTAAAAACTGCCAATAGTTTTATTTGCTGTTGCTTGAGCATGAAACCCACAGATGTTAACTTACTCGGGCTCCAGTGGAGCTAACTCTTCCAGACAGGTCTGCAGGGGAACCCTGTTGAAGGCCCAGGACTCAGAATCTACCAGCTGGGTCACATGACCGAGCAGCTTCATCTCGTAGTCAAAGTCCAGCATCCGCCAGTAACCTAGTAGAGGATAAAGACACTCTCTCAACATCTGGTAGTTCTTCGGTTTGTTATTGATATAAGTACGCAATGCTACAAGTAAAGAATTTGTATAATTAAAAGCATATTTCTTGCACTTGACCTCCCAGGAGAACTACTTTGAAAGCAATGTGGCACCTATTTGTGGCTTTGCAGCAAACACAACTTTAACAACTACTACATGTGTCGTTTTTATAAAGAAATGTCCCCGTTTACCATCTATCTGACAGGCGTGGACGGCTTCTAAACTGGTCTTCAGCTCCTCTTCACTGGCCTGGATGCTCTCCAACAGATCCTCCATTGTGTACTGGTAACAGAGGAACACACACTTACTAAAGGCTACAATTACATTCAAAAAGATAGAATACTCAACATTTCTGAAAATATGGCTAGAAATCCTTAATGATCTGATAAGCCCTATATGTAGATTCTCACAGTCTGACAGGACATTTTATTGAATGACTTCATTGTAGAATATGTTTTACCCTGTTTTCGGTGTCCTCCTCCTTCCCCCCTAAAGCAGGTCCTTCGTAAGGATTCTCCATTAAGACCTTCTTCAGTTTCTTCAGCTTAGGCCGCTGCTTCCTCAGCTCCCAGTAGCTGTTACTAAATCCCCAGATCTACAACAGAAGTATACTTTTCTTAGAGTTTTTGGGTCATAATTGCACATATACACATTGGGGTTTGTGCAGGTGTCACAGTATACCAAACCGGATCCATTCAGTGTCCTTTCCATACCTGAGTGTGCACAATGTGAGAGTTTTCCTGACTGTTAGTGAGTTGGTCTGGTGTTCGGCAGTCTGGTACAAACATCAGCATGTTGGATGTGTCGGCGATTTTAAGATCGTAGGTCCTGTCTTTTGTACAGAGCACTGCATGTTCATCCGTATCCCCTCTTATCACTAAACTGAAGAAAAAAATAAGAATTGTTAGGTTTCATATGTATTCATCCATCATGTTCATGCATCTTGTGCCATAACACTGTTCATTATTTTGTATTATATTTAACCACAATGATGATCCTTTGAGTTACACAAGCAAAAAGAAAGAAAGGGAAGAGAGTAGCAGAGGTGGGAAGTAACTAAGTGCATTTACTCAAGTACTGTACTTAAGTACAATTTCGAGATACTTTCAGATTATTATATTTCAATTTTGAGCTACTTTGTTCTTCTACTCCACTACAATTCAGAGGTAAAGAGTGTACTTTTACTCGACTACATTTATTTAATACCTTTAGTTACTTTGCAGATTTTTATTAATGATGTGAAATATAATCAAAACTGAAATCAAACTTTAGTAACACCTGGAGTAAATTCACAATCTACCCTGCAGTATACAAAGTAATTACAACTAGCTGCACCTTTACCAGCTGTGATAAAACACATTCATGCATCAATAATTATAATCAAAGTATATATTTTTATTCTGAAATGGACTAATCTGCATAATAAGTACTTTCTTTTGGTACTTTAAGTATATTTTGATGCTTATACTTTTGTAGTTTTACTTGAGTAACATTTTGAATGAAGGACTTTTACTTGTAACAGAGTATTCCTACCCTCTTCTTTTACTCAAGTACAAGATCTGAGTACTGATCCCACCTCTGGAGAGTAGTTTACAGACGGTCTGTTCTCACCCGGTTTCATAGGCTTATTAGTTTACTAATACTTTACCTTTCCCCTGCTTCTATGAGTTTGCACAGGGTGTCGTCCAGCTCCAAGAGGCAGTAGTCTGCAGAGGAAACGTTTTCCCCGAAAGAGAGACAGTGAATGGTTTTCTGCAGCTCTTCGTCCTGCAGTTTGGCGATCTGCAGAGTGGCCTGAACCTCCTCTAAAGTCCTCATTTCCGGTCAGACGACAGGTTAGAGCGACAATAACTGAACGAATAAAGCCCTTCAAGAAATAAAGCTATGTACAAAACAAGACAACACCTATCTAACTTTGTGTAGCAATAGTCGGTGACTGTCAAATTTCCCCGCGTTCTTTCTGTCGTGGAAAGGAAGTGGAGGAACTACGTTGGTGTGGGACTCAAAAATATCACCGGGTAGAAACATAAATTCACGTACATTTAAATTAGAAAACCGGTAACTTAAAACTTCTGTGATTTTAAATAAGTATCTTCGAGGATTTATTTAAAGGTTGTCTTTAATGCTAAATTACAATATAAATAGGCGTAGTCATGAAATGATGGTTCATATTGCTTCACGAGTTGAACGAGTAGAACCTGTCTCACATTCTGTTTCAACCGAGATAAATTAGTTGACGCACCCCCGTTCACGCTGAGGGTCAAATGTTTTGAGGATATGCTGCACGTTTAATCGAAATGTCAAGTTTTTCGAGATCTGCCCAGGTAACCGTACACAATCTTACCTTGTCTCACAGTTTGTTCGTTTAGGTCAATGTTAGGCTGATAGCTAACATATGTTGCTAACTAGCTAGCCGGTATGTGTGATTTCATTTTTTGTGTGGATGTTTTTAAATAATAGTAAAACTTGCGGACTGCCCTCAGCAGTTAGATAAAAACACAAACGTTGAATTACGTTTTATCCTAACGTTAGTGTTTGCATAAACATGTATAGCCAATATTATCTCTGGTTCTGCCCTTGTTGTTTTTCACATTACGTATACATCATCGTCCTTTGGTTACTTATCAGATCTTTCTTTGAGCCTTCAAGTTATATTAACGTTGGTGATTAAATGAAAGAAATAAAGTAAATACACTTTCATAACAAACCATTTCAGACTTGATTGACACACACACACACACACACACACACACACACACACTTAATCAATGTTATCCATGACAGTGGGCTAGCATGCACAGTACCAGGGCCTTGAAGTTAAAGAAATTGAATTCAGCCATCATTCTTTTTGATTGTATATCCCCTATGTCTTTCACAGTTCCTCTCACTTATTTAACAATAATTGAATTATTTGTTCATGTTTTTCTGTCAGCAATGGGCCACCTTTGCTCGTTCCTGGTTCCTGATCGATGCCAGGATGCAGCCTCCTGGGAAGATAGCGACCATGTGTGCTATCAGATTACAGGGGAAACACAAGCCTATCTACCATGCAATGAGTGAGTAGGAGTCCATCTGTAAAACACACACATATACAGTCAAGAGTGAGTAACTGTATGACCTTAATATTACCCTAAGGCTTTGTATAAACTACTGCACGTTCAACATGTCCCCAAATCATTTATTTCATGTTTCTGTATGAAACGGCCACACGATGGCAGTAGAGGACAAACCTAATAAAAACATGTCTTGTTCCTTATTACTTATATTTAATCAAGGGACATTTTCAGATGACTTTTTCTTGGTCTAAAAAACATTATCATTATAATTTCTGTTTAAAATATTGTCAAATGTGTATTTTTATATTTTTCAACATAAAGATAACCCTGGAATAAAACTCTTTTGTAGGTGACTGTGGTGACCATATTGTAGTAATGAACACCAAACAAATAGCTTTCTCTGGGAACAAGTGGGAGCAGAAAGTCTACTCATCACATTCAGGGTAAGTGCATACTAGCTCATATGATATTTCACTTTTCCCGTCTCTTTATCTTATGTGTTTACAATTTAGCTTTGTTCTTCAATGCCTATGAACCAGCATTTCTCAGTCTTAGTAGTCTATTGTTCACCGTCACTATGAAACATGTCCTTCAAGATTAAAAAACAGATTTATCTTTAATATATTCATCAATCTATACATATCTCAAGGCTGTTAACCAGGAAAGATTGAGAATGTAAAAGCTCAAAGGTTTTATATGATCCAGTACAAGGACTGACTGAGCTTGTCTTTCTCTCTAAAGGTATCCGGGTGGATTCAAACAGCTCACAGCCGCCCAGCTGCACCACAAAGACCCAAAAGCTGTAAGACTCTTCAGTCAATATTCTTCTTTTTTATTGTTATTTCAAGATAATTCTCAAATTGCAGATATATTTTGGTGCCCCCATTCTTAAACCATAATGTTTCTTATAAACTGTATAATTGAACCGTAGACCCCTTTATATCAGTCTGTGAATTCCCCCACATGGAGATTAGTGTCATGTCTTTGTCTGCCACATGCTGTGAAGAGGCAGGCGTTTGGTGGGGGGACATTTATCCCTTCCCTCATATGGGCTGTTTGTGAATATTAATGTGAGATGCAGTGAACTGGGATTACACAGCGGTGGGTTTACTGCGGTGGTGGTGGGTGCTTTCTCAAACTCAGTACAAGAGTGTCAGTTCAAGGGTAACTCCTGGGGTTTGAGTTGTGTTGCATATTCATGGTTTCACAGCTACAGTGATTATTACATTCAGACCTGAATGTGACCTTCATTCTGTGCTTAACGAACCACCGGTAAACGCAACTGTGCTCCAAAACATAGATAGAAAGATAAATGTTACCTAAAGGATGACTCTGACAATAAAGTTTATTTTATTATCAACAAATCCAATGAAAAGATCCAAACTACCAATAGATGTATCCACTAAGGAGTATTTCTTGTGTAGCCAAAGCCTCATAATAGCTTATTTTTACGTGCCATAGTTCTCTTAAAACTATATGTTGTATTTTATTATATCCTGTTCCTGCATAATGGTAAACATGGACACTGTAGATTTTGTTTGTTTAAATTGATCCCACATAAACCGTATGCTGTAAATACTCACAAGAACAACATGTTTATTAAATCCACACGAGAGAATAGTCCCACACAGATTGCCTTTTTTATATAATAAATATACATATTTGTGACCTGTTTTTAAAGATGTACACCCATGATAGCACTGATAGTCTCTGGGTTTTGTGCCACAGATAGGATCCGTAACTCGGTTATAAATGCCAGTTTTATGAACACATTGTTGGTTTTGGTGTTTGATTTGTTAACAAGGCTAATGTCATTTAAACTGGATTAATGTTTCTAAAGTGTTGTTTTTAATATTGTGATTGACATCCCATCGTGGGCTCTGGTTTGCACACTTTTTAAAATGTTAATTCATTCAGACTAATCAGAAGAATAAAAGGGTTTGATGACTTAGTTGGTGCCACACTATATCAACAGGGCTGAATGAAAGCCATAAACAAAGGGTTTGCAGATCATTTTGTACGGCTAATTAAAATACTGTGAAATTGCTCGTGTCAACACTAAACCAAATTGAATGACCTCTACTGGTTTCAATCTGTAGTTTAGGAAAACCATGAGTCATTTACTCTGCAGTCGGCTCACTTGTTGCAGCTTGTGGTCCAGCCAGTGACCACAGGAGTGTGTCCGGATGGTGGTTTAGTTAGAATGAGCTTTGGCACGTGAAGAGGAGAAATAGAGTTGGACGGATGAAGGATTTGTCAGCACAGCTCACTATCCAACATCTCTCTAGAACGTTTTTGTCCAACGTCTCAGTCCAGTTACTCTCCAAGACGAATTTACATTTGGGCATCCTGCCTCACACTGAGAAACAATAGTTTTGGAAGGAAATCTGGGAAAACCGAATGTAAGGCTTCCATAGATGCATAGTTTAAAGAAGGGAAACCGTAAACTGATTGTATGTTAACTTTTTCACTATCTTTCCTTTTACCAGATTGTGAAGTTATCGGTTTACGGCATGCTGCCAAGGAATCTGCACCGTCGCACCATGATGCAGAGGCTACACATCTTTCCTGACGACGTGAGTACAGCTTCTCCAAATCTCTCCAACTGATGAGTCTTCAGAACGTAACCTCACGCCTCAAACAGCCAGACTGTCAGAAAGGGAGGGGGCCCTACTGTCATTCTGTAGGAACTGACACAAAAGAATGAATCCTTTTTTAATCCAGGTCATCTTTATATATAATATAAATGAACTTTAAAATGAATACTTAACAATAATTGTTTTCCTAGGTTAAAGACAGTATTATTGATTTTCTAGAACTACATTGTCTCAGCTTTACTGTTTTATTTGGCTCCTAAAGCTGTCACTAAGATTATTTCCATTAGCAGCAGGAAGCTGTTTTCAGTTTTCTCCAAAATGTCTGCCTTTTGAAATGAATTGAAACAAAGAAGTACTTGACTGTCTGTTAATTGACCTGGACAGCCTGCCCAAATATGAAATGGATGCAATGTTTATCCATGCTGCCAGAGAACATCATTAACTCCAGGCGTTGGAAGAACATCTGATTGATTGTTGAATTGTAATGTAATACACGAGGTGTTTGTTGAAGGAAGTCAGATACCTGTCATTTTATTTTGGTCCTGACTTAATATCCAACGTCAAAGTGGATGTTGTGCAGTGTGCGTCCCTAATGACGAGCAGATGGGCTTCCTGAGCCTTCGTGAATATCTGCCGTCTCATATAGAAGAAGACTGTGTGGCTTCAAGTATTTTGGAAACAAAAAAATGTTACCTTCTTGTCAGCCTCTTTCAACTATTTGTCTTATTTCCTTCTTTCATCCATCTTGAGTTTCTTATCCTGACCTGCCCACATTTTATTTTTAACGTCCTCCTCCTTCGTGCGCCCCTCACCAGGAGCTGCCAGACGACATCCTGGCCAACCTGACGGAGGAGCTGCCGCAGCCCAGAGAGATACCCAAGCAGCTCAGCGAGTTCACGCAGGAGGAGATCGACGCCTTCCCCCGGCTGTGGACCCCGTACGTACAGACGGTTCTCAAACACACTGACGCCAGTTTAGATGCAGACACGACATACAGTATAAGCGGTAAAACCGATACGAGGAGATTGTATTTACTGTGTTACACACAGAAACCTTCAAAGGACTTCAACAGTGTCCCCAATCCTTTTTAAAGACATTTTGGTGTCTGAAATGTTAAACATTCCTACAAGGATCTAATTCATTCTTTCTAACTCTATATACGAGGAACAAAAGTCAAACAAAAACTGAATTGATTGAACTTTAAAAAAAATCTTAACATTGATGGCGATTCTAATCTTTAACTTCTTCCTTTATATGGTTTTTATTTGCTTTATAACTTTTTCTCCTTATGCAAAAACAAATCCATTCATTTCTTTTGTGCTGATGAGACGATGTTGGTCTGGTGTCACATTGTTTTGTTTTTGTG